CGTAGGCACTTGGAAAATAAAGGTAGAGCTCATTTCAAAATTTCCGCTCAGATCAATGTAGTTCTGTGGGTTTGACAGTGAAGTGTGACTCTTGGGGAAACATCTAGGACAGCCAACACACCAGGTTTTGCCCAACGTTCAGTGAATTCATAAACAGAGACACATGTGTGAACTTTTTGCCTTTGATAAAGAAGTTAGCTGTGAGCCGCAGGTGCTGATATCTGACTCCCGTACAACTCGCTTGTCCACTTTAATGTGACTAAATAAACTCCTTTTGTGGTCTCTGCCCCATTGCCACAGACAGTTGGAATAAAAAGCAACTCATACAAAGAACAGCTGCTAGCATGTGCTCTTAGAAGACACAAGGCGCAGATGTTTCTCACTAAGAGTTTCAGCTCCTAAGTTTGGTCTCTTTTAAGAAACTAGTTCATCTGTGCCATTTATTTCTGCTTTGATTCTCACTCTTCGTTGTTTTTTAAGCTGCTCTGTAAGAGGATAAAGGCATGATTTAAATACAGAATCCTCTCATTTGGGAAACGTGCCAGCAGGGTGCTGATGGGTAGAGCTGTGCTAGAGGTTGGAGAGAGAAGGATGGAATGGAGGAAAAATTGGAGGGGTTTTAGGGAGGGTGGAACCTGCTCAGCTACATCCTGAGGGGAGGTGCCTAAAATTCACAGGCCATATTTTCAGGATGATCATATTTTCAGGTTATAGTTGGGCACAAATAAATAGTTGGAAAAATACTCATAGTTTGTCTGTAGGTGCTGACGCAGAGCCTTAAATACAAGTACTGAGAAGTATGAGTTCTTTGGTGGTGGGATGCTGTGACGTACACTGAGGAGGTGGCCCTCCTGCTTATATACAGTGTTAGTCAATGTTACCTCAATTAAAAGAAAAGGTGCTTGTGAGATTTAACACTGAACAGCCCAGCAAAAACTACAGTTACAAGAGCTACTGGAACTTGCCATTCCATTTGGCATAAAGATCACCTCTCCTGTGGCCCTTCTTCCCCTCCCCAGCCCTCACTTCCTGGCAAGATTCTCTCTATTCGGCATCACCTAGCCTGTTTTCTTCATTATAGCATTTATCAGCATCTGTTATTTTTGTATTTACTTACTTGCTTATTCGCTATCACTCTGTCACATCGTTGTGAGCCATTTTCCTATCAGAATATTGGCTTCATGAAGCCAGGGGACTATGTTTGCCTGGGATCTGTTCCCCACCTGCTGTATTTTCAGCTGCTGAGATAATGTTTAGCACTCAGAAAGCAGCCAATGAGTATTTGTGACATATATGAATAAACTTCTACAGTTCTGCCTTCAAGAACAGAACTCAAAATCGCAGGGTCACAATATAATTTATTTTCCACACTGCTACTTTTGACAGTGAAAGAGGATACTACTAGGCATCAGAATAACAGGCATAATTTTATAAACCTTTGTTGAATGAATAAAGAGATAATAAAATGCATCTCCATTTAGATTATTTGGAGGGTTTGTTATATATAAAAATCATGGAATAATTTTAAAAGGCATTATTACACCTGACACTTCAGGAGATGAAGATACCTATAGGCCAATGAAAGAGTATCAAGAATTTATTGGCTAGACCCTTGCAAACTAGTGCGAGGTGATTTACTCTAGTGTCATAGCTTTATGCCAATGGATGCTATTCAGATGATTTCCAAGTGCTTTATACAATTTGATTTCTACAAGTAGTTAACATTCCTTCGCTAGTACTCCTATGCCTTTGTTCACAAATGACTTTCCTAGGAAACCTTTGTTTGAATGTTTATTATACTACAGATTGGAAAGGGTGAATTAAAGTTCAAACTCTAACTGCCTGGAGTCCTTTAATAATGGCATTCAGATTTATAAAGAGTGATCGTTTTTGTTTTCTGAGTAGACAAAAAGGGTCTGAGGAGTTTACAGCATTAACAGAAATGCTTGAAATATTAAATATTTTAACACTGAGCAAATGTTGTAGTCTTCCATTTAGATGTGGTGTGTTAGCATAACATGGAGATCTGTCCCTGGTCTGATTCAGGAGCACAAATAGGACTGTCAGACAAAAGCAACAATAAACAGATCCTCTATCTCCTCACACAGAACAGTCTTGTGTGTTAGAGAAAGGAAAACAGCCAAGTAGGAGCTGGCTACTCTGGGCTGTGATCGAATGTAAGCCCGCCCCTTGCAAGCTTCCCTGTATGGCCCAGTGCCATGTGACAATGACAACTGTAACTGAAATCCATCCAATGTGCAAGGATGAGGAACATTCCCTTCACAGGAACAGGGATGGCAGGGATTCATCCATGAAAAAAGTCAACAAAGTCTTTGCCCACTCCCCCCCCCCCACAGATGGACAGACATTACAACAGATTCAGTATTTCATGTCTGATTAAAGCAGGAGGCCATAAGAGAAAAGGTGCCAAGGTGGAAAGAAGCAAGCACTCAAGGATCTGACTGAAATATGTCGTGTTAGAGCAGAGAGCCCAGGGACAGTGCAGGGGGATGGAGGAGGACAGCACCGAGAGGGAGGCACTGCAGCCTCCAGGGGCCATGCTCACAGCATGAGGTTACATGCTGCCCATTACCAACGTGAGAGTCACACACCACAGCAGAGCACCAAGCCTGAAGTGCTCAGGCTGTGGGGTGTCTAGGTGGATCATCACTGGACTGAGGAGCAGCTAAGGGTTTTGATGAAAGACATGAAAAATATGAGTAAAAGCTCTCATTTGTAGGACGCCTGAGTGAACTCATAACATGCGACATTACCTATTTGTTCACTGTCTGCTGTTCCTCAATGAGATTGTAACTTCTGTGATAATAGGGACATCATCTTCCTTTCCCTCCTTCTCTTGCCCACTGCTGCAGTCCCGATAGCTTGACAATAAATGGCACATATATGTGTGTAGTGGATAGATGAAATGATGAAAGGTAATGGTCGGCAGGAAAGCACTTGTTTGGATTTGCACTTTGGCTATGATTATAGTGAATGGATTCTGAGTGAGGTCCAAAAATGAGATAGGAGAGTGGTAGAAGAGAGTGACTACAATTATGGAATAAGCTTTTAAGTATCTAGAGAATTAGGTCTTGCTGGTGGCCTAGGAGTTAAGTTTTAGGGTCTCACAACTGTAGCATAAATTTGATCCCTGGCCAGGGATGTGATCCACATGGCACAGTAGACCTCTCCTGTCTCGCCCGCTGCTCCCCTCAGTAGTGTATTTCAGTGGCTCTGTCTGTTCTGCTCCTCACTCTGTCTCTGCTGAATCCTCTCACCTGACACACCTCTGGCCTGCACCCATTTTTTTCTATAAATAAATCTTTAAAATAAATAGATATCTAAGGAATCCCTGATAACAAACACAATTACTTATGGGTAGCATGAGCAAATGGAGATGGAAATTCACATGTACTAACCACTCATGGTATATCAGTTGTTGTGTTAGGTGCCATCACATACTTTATTTCATATACCTTATATGCTTCATATAGATATCATTTAATTCTCAACTAAAAAATAAAGTCTCTAATATGTCCACACTTCGCACCTAGATTTGCCCGACTATAAAGGGATGCACAACTTGAAAGAATACCATGCCGTCCATCAGAATATTTAAGGAATAATAGCTCAATCACAATAACTGATCTTGGTCTGGAACTAACTTTTTTGGTTTCTGAGGTTTGGCAGTAGTACGGGAGATGGCATGTTTTCATTAGATGCTGGGATTCCTAAATTTTAGCTTTATAGATACTCTTGGCAGAAGGAGCTTTCAATTGCATTAGCCACAGCTTCCTATTACATATCCTGGGTCTTGTCTCCCACTCTGTCCTCTCCAGGATCTTAGGTCTGAGTACACAGATGAGTACCTTTTACATATCAAGTCCTTCCTCAATCCCTCACCCAGAGCCAACTAAAGGCAGAAAATTATCAACAAGCTAAGTGCACTTATTTGACAGTAGGTTAAAAACAAGCCCATATCTTAGTGCCACTTGTAGAGTCATAGAACGATGTCTAGAAAACTACTTTCAAATATCTTGGTTTGGCAATCAGACCCAAGCTTGATTCCATGATTTCACTAACTTGCAGTGCTTCTTTATTGTTTCTCACCTACCTAATACTTAACCACATAACAGGGGTTCTTTCCAGCTCGCTACTCTAAATTACTGGCTCTTTCCTTGTATGAATGAGAGCTTTTTCAGACCTGAGTCCTATCTAAACTACAGCTATGTGGTTTCCTGTCACATCTATGGCTTTCTCTTTCATGGACCCATGGCTTACCCTTGTGTTAGCCTAGGGGCTGCAATGCCTGCCATCTGTACTTCTATTTCCCTAACTTTTGAGTACCGATTGCCTGCTGCATTCCCTGGTTATCCATCCAGACAGGGGATGTTGTGGTAGTCTCTGCTACTCACCACAGATTTCCATTCCCTCCCTCCACAGTGAAACACTGCTGTTGAGAAGTAACTGACCATCTGGAAACATTTCCCACCCTACCATCCTACACTGAGTTGGGGGCTGGGAACTAAATTCTAACAGAATATACCTGGTAGAGATGTGTGCAACTGCCAACTTGGTCCATAGGAACCACCTGGAGCTAGCGGCAATCACTCTCCAGAGAAACCTGCTTATGTTAAAGCGGTGAGACCTCCATCAACCCGTGTCATTGAATGACATTTTGACACAATAGGAAATAACTCTGTGAATGAAAACTTGATCTCTAGTTTTGACGTTATGCCACTGTGACTTGGGAATTTGCCTGCCATGGGAACCAGCTTTACTTATATATTTCAGCATACTTCTTCCAGAAACCACACAGGCCAGCAGTTTTTGAATTGGTTGAATTTAGGACGTTTGTGTTTTCCTCCTTGGGGGTGACCTCAAACTATCTCTGCCTGGCCAACATGCCTGATATCCACTTGTCAAGCTATAGAGCACAGAGACATTTCAAAAGAGAGACATTTAAAAACCCAACTGGTATACACAAGGGCCCCAAATACCTCCTTGGCCACAAGTCTGTGAACACTCTGTCCAGGCTGTCCACCCTGAGAGCTGACAGTTGACCACACATTCCACCAGGCAATGGATGCTCATTTTCTGGGGCTTCTCCAAGTTATTCTGCAGATGGAAATAGGATTTTACTTGAGAAATAAAGTCACTAAAAATCAAATCACTATCTCTTTATAGGAGAGACTGCCCTTTCTTCTGATAATCACCCTTCCATATTTTTGCAGGAAAAAATATCATTTTTTATAAAAATCGGTGGCAATCAGAGAAAATGGTTGGCCTCAGAAAATAGAAATTTATCAATCCAGATCTTTTTACGAAACCCTCCATATGGGATTAGACCTGTAACCAGGGCACTGGGAATACAGGCAGTGATGTGAAACAAAGATTGTCCTCTTGCTCAAGCAGCAAGGCACGTGGGTGACAATCAGTGCTGAATTCAGGTACTTGCACTTCTGCATGGTCAACAACACAGAGAGAGCAAAGAACTAACAGCTAGCTAGCTAAGGTAAATCAGATCGAATCAAAATTAATAATTCAGCTAACGTACACAAAGTAGACCATTTAGGCTAATGACATAATAGGGGAAGTTGGTGAAACCCTTTATTTTCCATGTGCCTGCACTGAAGCCAGCGCTCAGGCAAAAATCTACAAATTATATAATGACTGAGGTAGAAGAAAGAATAAATCATCCAAGAAACAGAACAATGAAACAGTCTCTACAGCAATCATATACGGATTGCTTATTTAGGAAAACATTGACATTCAATACATGTTAAATGTTAGCAAAGTTCACATCAAACTAAATTAATGATTGTAGCACAATTACTTGTTAAGTGGGCAAAACGGGAATACCATCTGGGCACTACACTTTTTTTGATATATGGATATTCAAAGTAGATTAATAATTTGGGAATCCTTTTATAGCTATTCTTTAAATATTTGTTAGAAATATATGATTTCCAAATATCATGCCTATTTGTAAATAGTTTACACTTTTCTTTGTATCACAAGATTTATTACATATACTAAATATAATATTTTCATTTATTTGGCATTGGTATAGAGTGGTGATTTATTTTTCCTGAAGCAGACAACTTCTAAAGAGGCAGATCAAATGAAGAAAAATGTTAACATAAATCAATGGCACTTGGTAGACAAGAGCTCTGCCCTCTATTAGCCAGTTTCAGAGTTTCCCAGATGGGACATTGTATTTAGGTGGTCTGGTCTCAGGTCTGTGCTGGTATATGGTTCCACTGTGCTATGATAGTCCAGAGCAATGTAAAGTCAGGAAACTGAGGACCGTTTTGATTTCTATGTTCAGAATCTACCTTTGTTAGGAGAAATGGGACCAGTTTTCATTTAACCCGTTTGCTAAGGAGTTTCCATAGAAACCTGAGTTAACTGGGCCCTTATTTCCAAATTTATTCCATTGATTTGGTAGTGATTCTTATTGTGCGACAGCACATCATCATCTTTACTTCTATTAAACTGTCTCCATAATGCTTTCACTTGCACACTGGGAGGTAAACACTAACTTCTTTAGAACAGATTTGGCTACAGCTTTTGTCCTTTTGTCCAAGCTCCACATGGTTTGTCACAGGGAAAAAAGGGCCAATAAACTACAAAAATTCAGAACCTGTTAATTTGAAAATTGGTAGGGAGGCATTTTAACTTAGATAGAGAAGAAAAATACAACCGTGCTGTTTATCCAGCAACCACTGGCTTAGCAAATTAATGGGTTTTCTAATAACAAGTGTCGGTTCATCTTATATTCAAAGGACGGTGGTCAGCATATATATATATTCCCTATCTGATCACCCTAGGTACAGTTGCCCAATACATAGAGCTATATTTAAGCTTAAATCCACTTGATATTGGTGGAAAACAATTACATCTAAGTAAGTTCTTAAAATTAATGTTTTTTTAATGAATTTATTTCTCCAGTGCAAAATAACCTTCGCTCGTTTTTGACAAGGTTCAACGAGTGTAGTTACACTAATACACTTTCTTAACCCAAGCTGTGATGAGAAGAAACCAGCCTGTGGTTTGCATCAAGGACCAGAGATTGCAGTAGGACCAGTATTAAGAAAGACAAAGCTATGCACATGAGATTCCAATAGAAAATCACCTGCTCGCATTGGTCCATGCTGACTGACTGGCCGTCACTGCGCACACAGCTCAGAAGCCGGGTCCTGACACCTTGTCCGCAGGTGGCATTTTCACTGAGCTGGCACATGCTCCACTCTACAGGAAGAAGATGACCACACTCTGAGTTTCCAAATTATAAACATGTGAGTAAAATACAATGAACCATGGATCCTTTTCTTTTAGGGAAGAAGGTAAGTGTACCATAATACTAAAGCCATTGCTAGGGGGCTTTGAAAAGCACTGAGCAATTTTTTTTTATTGCAAAACAATCAATACAGCAAATAAACAAAAATGTACCAGCTTCCCATTGAATGAGGAAGCTAGGCTGAGTATAGGAAGTGTGTTTCAGGGTGATGCAGGCCCATTTATCAAACTGAATGAGGAGCATTGGCGAGGGATCATGTACTCCAACCCAGTGAGAACCAAAGGATTCAGAAAGCAATTACACATGCCAAAGCAACAGACCAAAGCTCATTCCAGGAAAACAGACCAAGTGACTGGGAGCCAGTAGGTCTCAACCAATCAACAAGAGAGACAATGTGAAGGTCCTCCCTGGTGGCGCAGTGGGATAAAACACAGCACTGCAAGCCTGCTACAGCTACTTCAGTGTGAGTTCAGTCCTGGCCCCAGAGGTGACCAACATGAGCTGGCAGACCTCTCCTGTTTCACCCGCTGCTCCCCTCAGCAGTGTACTTCATCAATCTGCCTGTTCTGCTCCTCACTCTTACTATGGTGAATCCTTTTACTGCCCCTGCTGCTCTAACCTGTACCCCAGTTCTGTATGCATAATTAAATATTAAAAAGAGAGAGAGAGGGCCCTCCCTGGTGGCGCAGTGGGTTAAAGCACAGCACTAAGAAGCTTAAGCCACTTCCTCATGAGTTCGATCCCCGCCTGCCCCGGAGGAGATCCACATGGTGTGGCAGACCTCTCCTGACCCGCCCGCTGCTCCCCTCAGCAGTGTACTTCGTTCATCTGCCTGTTCTGCTCCCCACTCTGTCCCTGGTGAATCCTCTCACCCTCCGCATCTCTGGCCTGTACCCCAGTTCTGTATGAATAAATAAATAAATCTTTAAAAAAAAAAAAAAAAGAAAGAGAGAGAGCGAGACAACATGAAACACCCAAAGTCCAAACCCAACACCTCCACCCCACTGCTACGCTCTCTGTACTCATATGAATTCCTGTGTTGCTTCCTAAGTGGCAGCCCACTCTGGACCCCAGTCTACTCGGAGAGCTTCTCTGTTTTTATCTGAAGCTCTTGCTTTTCTGCCTAACTCTTGTGTCAGCATTGAATTCTTTCATCATGGAGACAAGAACAGAGAGAAACTTTGGTATCTGTCTCCCTCACCCCAGTCCTAATTCATCATATTCGTTGTTTCGAGGTAAAAGCCAAATGCTTTGTTAGAAATCATCTCAGACCACAGGAGAAGGGAAGGAATGACAATCATCAGGATGACAAAGAAAAGCCAGTTTTGAATCACTGATTTGCTGAGGATAATTGTGAGAGAAAGTAGCACAGAAATAATGGTAGTATTTGATGTGAACTTGGAAAATGTTTGCCAACACAGATCCAATCATCTAAGCTTTTTGGTACAGTGGGGCCGAGGGAAGGACCCAAGAAAGGAAGGAGGGTGGGTATACAAACTACATGACTTTTGGAGAAATTCTAATTCTTCCAAATCATTGTCTCTTGAGAGAGGTTTTACATATTTGGCTAATTGTATTACTAAGTAGACAATTGGGAGTTAGAATAAACTACCCCACAATTAATCTGATTCTTAGGAAATTCTACTGTTGCTGTTCACAGATAGGAAAATACTTAATCCTATATGAAGAAAACCTTTTTAAGGAAATTACTGACATTTGGTAGATGATCTAGAAGTTTAATGAGTATAGAAAGCCATATATAGTAATTCAGAATTTTGCTCTTCCGGTAAAGTGAATTCTGCTGTGTTTCTGAACTATTTCTATAAAAATGAAGTAGCTGGGTCACCTTTACTATAAGAAAAAGGGCAATGACATTAGTGTTCCAGTATGATAATAGTATTGTACTGATGTTAATAATTCAAATACGAGGTCATCTTTGACCTATAAAGACAATCTGAGCCCCACAGAAATGTGCATAGGTTTTGTACCTGAGAAATGTCCACAGTGCCACCAGAGCCTCAGTGGGGAATTGTGTTTTTCATAAAAGGCTGTTGCTTGGCCTCTGCGGGCATGCAGCAGTTTGGCTGTCAGTACTGAATGAATTCAATGCTGAGACATGAGTCCAAGTTTTGTGGCATTTTGTATATCTGCTGCAGCAGAGAATGGCAGGTACCAGATCCACGTAACTCAATAGTCTTTTGGTATTAGACACTCAGCACTTTGATCTCCAGGAAAAACCTGAACAGTGGCTGAATAATGAAGTTGATGTGATTCCTGGTGCCTCTAAAACCTCCCTGCTCAGTCAGGTCTCCCTACTATTCATCCTTAATGAGACCCATAGAGCAAGTGTATTACAAGCTTAAATTTCTTAAAATACTAAAGGCCATAAAAGAGCAAATCGCTAACGACAGCATGATTACATTATTCTCTATGTAGTAAATTATCCCTTGTTACTTATTTTTGTTGTTTCAGTTTATCATAGGTTAGTTCAACTTTACTCTGAAAATTTGCCAAGACTTCCTAAGCTTCTTTTCATTCACAGACTCCAGGTGGCCTCGCTGAATTACACACCAAGAGGAGGCATTCTTCTTGTGAAGGGACACTGAAATTGTCAAGTCCTTAGCCTTTCAGGCAACACACCTGCACACTCTACTTTCAGTCCTTAATCCCAAGGTGAAAACACAATCATTGTCTCATTAATCAATGTTCAGGGAAAATGGCAGGGCCACGGTTGAACTCTACCTGTTAGGTTGTACTGGAACTGGAAGCAGTTTTCATTGAGGAGACAAGGCCGCACCTGTGAGTCTTCAGCACACGTCCTTGAGCTCAGCGAAGGCCTCAGCAGATGGCGAGTTCTTCTCTGCATTGAATGGGGATCACATGACTGAAAACCAAAGAGCAGACAGAGTTAGAAAAGGAGTGACAGTTGATTAATTATGCATGTTATCAGCATACATTGAGATATGTGTATAACAGCACAGATGAGAGACAATCAACAGTGTTAAGCAACATTTAGAAAATAGAACCATTCGGTGTTATAGTTTTTGCTGTGCAGTTTTTGCTTTTTGTCACTTGCCAGCATGTTCTTTTTGTACATTATGACGAAGGCTAGATTTCTACCTCCCAAGTATAATTAGGCACATGGAAACTATTTTCATCAATTAAACTCATTCTGCATTCTCAAATAGTCTACCACTACAGCCATAGATCAATGAATTCTAAATGTTTCAATGAATAAAAAAAAAAAA